GGAGCTGCACAAAGAGCCCCTGGAAAGGGCCACTGGTTTGTAGGGGCACCCGTTGGGACTTCCGTGCTAGTTGGAGTGAGCTGAAACTTCAACCCGAAAGCCATCAACAGCACATCTGCAGCTGAGGCACTCAACTTTTAGCTTTGTGGATCGAGGCAGGGCTCGGGAACAGTTTAGGTTTCAGGGCTTACGGTTCAGGGGCTAGGGTCAGGGAAGATTGATCCGTGATGCTGTGGTGGGCTGTGGTTGCCGGATATAAGCGGGGGGATCTCATGGTGGCAAATATCCTGGATGGATCCACCAAGTACCCTGCATACAGGATCAAAATGTCTAAGAATGGGACCTGCATAGACGTTATTCAAGCGTAGTTTGGGGGTATGGTGGATAGGGTCCTAGCAATGGCCTGACTATGGCATGCTGGGTTGAAGACATTCACGCAATGGCCCCGGATGAAGTATGTCTGCAGCACATTGCATCTCGACCACAACCTTATCTTGCTCCCAACCCTCCACCGCCTAATGAAGCGACACCCCTCCACCTTCAGTGTTTAGCCCAAAGAAATGCAGAATTTTGCAAAATGCGAAGTTGCTGGGGCAATGGCGTGCTTGCAGAGAGCTTTGAACTCATCCTCCTTCTCTCCATAGGCGTAAGATTTGTCAAACCTTGTGCCATTCAAGGGCTTTATCAGCGTTCTGTTCTTGGAACAATTGGACCTTTCTTGGCAAGGTTCTGCGTGCATTGCCGCAGATGCTGAGTTGTGAGCTTCATGCTGGGCTTTTGGCAATTAACTGGGCTTTCAGGGTTGCGACGCATTGTGGGTCCATGTGGGCATTTCTCAAAGTAGCGATCCCCCCAAGAGAAGATCATGTTACAAGATCATGTTACAACCTTCCAAAGCCGCTATGAAGGTCTTATGCCTGCTATCAAGTCTTTGGGTAGTGAGGCTGCGCTCGAAACGGTCTGCCTCTAGAGAGAAATATGAATGCTACTTCTTCCTGTCCATGAATTTGCAAGTGTGTGAGCAAAAGAGTTGCAAGGCCCATGCTTGAGGCCACGACTTCACCAGGAAACTCCACCCGGGAAGCGATGTGACCTACATGCATTCCCTCTCCTCTCACAGGGCTGGGAGGAGGGAGGTTATGCAGAAGCCTACACAATTACCAACGTAATTTTGAGATCTGATTGAGGTATGTCACACCATAATAACCAAACAAGGAAACAAGAGTTATACTACTGGAAATCATTCTGCATTAAGAATGTGGTTTGGGACCTGCGGTCTCGGGTTCTGCGTCTTGAAGGAGTTCAGAGAATTGCGCGGTGTGCAGGATCTTAGTGTAAAAAGGAAATCGCACAGGCATGCCCCTTACCCGACATGCGTGTTCTCCTTGTATTCCACAGCAAATCTTTTGAAGGCCAAGACGTCCTGGGGGACGACGTAAGAGGGCCAAGACAGCGTCTGTTGACAATTGATGAACCCCACAAGCAACTTCAAGGGCCCCATATAGCCCTCACTAGAATTTCTGACTTGATCTTAGTCTTGAGCTTTGGGCGATCACTCCTATGAGAGTCCTTGACCTATGACAAAGCATTCGCATGAGAGGTTTCGCATTTAGTGTGTAGGCCTTTGAGAAATTACGCCCAGTTGGAATCGGGCGGAGCTTCGTGCTTGGAAGCATAGGAGAACCTGAAACATGTGCAGGGAAAAATCGCGACTTAAGGCTGTGGTCCAGGCTCAGTCACAAAATAAACCACTTGCTTTATTGAATTGCGACTGTACAAAACTTTCTGAACGGGCTGCGGAAGCTATAGTGCACATAGACGAGGCTGTTTTACAACTTCAATGGCAATGCAGTAGACGCCTGGACGAAGCTAATACGTGCATTGTATGGGGACATGCAGTCTGACACACGGAACACCAAACGCTGATCCCAGATGGCCATCCTTAATCCATTGCGCACCAAGACCTACAAATCCTAAACCCTAAACCTTAAACCCTAAACCCTAAACCCTAAACCCTAAATGAAAAACTGAGGAGACGACCATAAACCCCACAAGCACTAAGCCCCCCCTGAATTCTTCACTGTTGAAAGCCCCATCCGCCTTGCTGAAGGTGTAGTTATCCAGCTTCAGGGCCCCTTGGGCTGTAGCCTCATGGGTTTAGGGTTTATAGGGTTTAGGGTTTATAGGGTTTAGGGTTTATAGGGTTTAGGAATTATGGGGTTTAGGGTTTAGGTGGTTAGGTTTGATTAAGGGCGAGGGGTTTGGGGCGGAGGGTTCAGGATTTAGGGTCTAAAGCTGTTTCCATGAGCCACACAGAATGCAATGCCGACTATACAGAAAACAGATCAGCAGGTTGTCATGGTGCCCTCTTGATTTCCCATTTATTGCACCTCCAACACTCTCAAACCCAGACCAAAGGCTTTCTGTCTGACCCTTCCAGCAGGCTAGTTCTGCGGGCAAGCACAAGGAACATCTTCAACCTTAAGCCACTAAAGCGCCAGCCACATTTAGGCGACAATCGCTCTTGTTCTGCACCAACACTGCCACATACTGCTACTTGGTATCTGCTACTGCTACTGCTATGTTCTACATGTGTGATCAATACCCTATAATGCTACAGCAGTTTCTACTTTTCCATGATACCTATATAATCCCTATATTACTATATCACCCCTATATTGCCCCGTTAGGGTTGTCAACAGTCTATGCGAATAAGTGAGCCGCTAGAACTGAGGGCTGAGGAAGTGACTTCAGCGAATGCCGTGAGGCAAGCCAGCAACGCTATGCAGCGGGGGCCTTGGCTACAGCTTTCCGATCAAAAAAACCCTCCTTCAACAGAAAGAAACACCATGCAAGGAAATGCAAGGACTTATGCACCGATGCATCCACAAAGAACTCTGAAGTCATAAGGCACGAATTACACATCTAAAGGCCCCAAAGCCCACTTACATGACGGATCCTTGCACGGTGAAGGCAAAGCGTGTAATCCTGAAAGCCATTAATTGGGGGCTCCATAGGTATGCGCAAAGCAGTTTACGAAAAGTGTTCAACCGTACCGTCACACAGCCTTGTACCGGCCTGGGGTTACAAGCCTTATCTAGAGCGCTGCAGCTGAACAAGACTTGAAGAAAGAATCCTGCCCTACCTACACCCTCCGCCCTGAAGCGCAAAAAAAAGCACAAGACCTAAACAGCAAAACCTAGATCCAGGTCCAAACCAAAACCAAGGATGCTCAAAAACAAATACTCCCATATATTATAGCCCCCATAGTAATAGCAGTGCCACGTATCATATCAAAAATTAAGTCTAACCATTCGCGCGTCCACACTTGCAAAAGCCTCCCATTTAATCCTCGGTTGCACTCCCATACGTCCCAGCCAAGGTCCATGGCGCCATGAGAGGGATCCCGAAAAAGAGTAATTACCCTGACAGCACAGCAACCAACTCAAAGCCTGCGGTTGACGCCTTTTAAGACGCAACCCTCGATACTCTATGCAGCCAAACTCCCAGGTTCCAAAAGCCCCACGCGTCTGACCCCTTAAAAGGTTGCTGAGCTCCTGGCCAGAACATGCTGCCATCATTGCTGAGATCTTATTGGGTTGCTTTTTGTCGTGGAGCTGACTTTGGTTGAGGATTTGGGGGCTTCGAGGTGTAGGGCTTAGGGTTTGGGGCTTAACGATGTGTGGCATAAGGGTTGTGAGGATTTGGGGTTTAGAAATCTTGTTCTTCTGTCCCAAGGTATGCCAGGAACCGTGTTGGGTGACAGCATTGCCACACTACTGCCATGACCTGCGGCTGAGCAAAATGCAGCAGGCAGCGGCTTGTTTTAGGAGTTTGGTTTAGGGTCGAGGTTCAGACGTGACCTTGGACAAGAGGCTTTGCGGCTTTGACGCAACGATTTAAGAGGAGACTTCGAGCACAGCCGAGCCCTCACAATTAATGAGCACTCATGATCTCTGCTGTTCAAAGCTTCCGAGGAAGCTAAAAGATGGACAATTTCTCCAGCATCCGATACATTCAAAAACCATGATCCCATCCTGGCGCTCCAGAACATGGGAACCCGAAACATGGCTCAAAATGCTTCCTGGTACTCCTTGTCTTAACCATAACTCTGGTCGACGTGCGACCACCCACAAAAAACTGCTAACCCCAACCCCTGGGCCCAAACTCAAGGTACACCCTATACATGACTTAATACTGATATGCCATGCTGTGTTTCCTCTTTCCACAGCACATGTCCTGCGGTCATCTGCCTGGCGACCTGGCGGCGGCGGTGGCGGCCTTCGACCCAAAAGGGAATGGAATAAGTTGATCTTTAAAGGAGCTGCGTGTAGGCGGAAACTAAGAATGTGAAAGATATGTCTTATGTTCCTGCTCCCAGTCTTGCAGGAAGGCTTAGCCACGGGATGAAGATTTGTGTGTAGGATGAAGGTGATTCGGATTTTGGGGGCGCAGGGATTGATCCTTACCCACCAAAAGCGGCTAAAGGTATAGATCATGGCGACATACAGCTTACGAATTTGCACCCCAGGACGCAGCACACATTCGTGGGATCCCGGCCAAGTGGGCTCATGCCCAAGCACTCCAGATGTGCACCCATCAGGGCTAGCGGAGGCCTCCAAATCCCGCTGCTTAAGTTTGCCCCCCATGGAGGTTTCTGAGTCTCAGGTTCAGCGGCAGCAAACCCTTATTATGGGTATATAGGGTGAAGGAATGGAAAAAATAAATGAAAGACAAATGGAAAATGAAAATGGACACTAAGGCCCATGTTCGCTTCTCATCAAATCTTGGCACCGTATGGCTTTGGCGGCTTCCATGACACTAGGCACACCAAGCAGTACATCCTAAACATGGGGATTCACTACTTTTCCACCAAGCAAACTTCACTACAAAGAAGACTCAGTTGAAAAACTCCGAGTCCCAATCACCACAGTTTGATGGGCCACACGTACTAAATTCTGCGACTCTATGCACTTGTGGTTTCATTGTTGCCCGCTCGCCTCTGCTGAGGGCCACAAGGAGCCCGGAGCTTCTGACGAGCAGGAGTCCTTGGCTTGCATCAGTTGACTTCAAAACCCCAAAAGATCATCCAACTATAGGGATTATATGGGGTTTATATAGGGGTTATAGGGTATATATCGGGGTTCTAAGATCATCCAACTAGACCCAAAACCCCAGGGTTTTACTTTGGGCCAAATAGGTTCTCACCATGAACACTTCGCAGCTTGAGTATGTACCACGTACTACTTGGGTACTCGGATCCTTAAAGCACGCGGGCAGATCTACAGCAGGATTCAACAACTTACTCAGCCAGACATGGCAACCCCGCAAAACATTGACCGGCTGCAGTTCAGAGAAGGAGTCATGTAAACCCTGAACTCTAAACCCTAAACCCTGTCTCCAAGACAGACTGGAAGGATCCTTTTAAGAGGGTGTTGGCTTGAGTTTTGGGAACCCACTTCTGCCGTCTCTCTCTGCTTGACGGTCCCTTGGCATCTACCTGGAGGAGAGTAAAACAAAGTAGGAGTTGAACTTTACGAGAGCCCGAAACCCTCAGCCTAGTAAACCAGATGTGCAAAACCCCCAAGCCTGAACCCTGAGCCTCATATGAGCTATAGTCTACACTCCTAGTATCCCTTAGTGGCCCCTATACTGCTCACCTATATAACCCTATATATCCTATATAAACCCCTACATAACCCCCGTTAAGGAGTTTAGACTATCAGTACATATGATGCGCCTTGCATCTGAAGCCTGGGTACATGCAGGCTAGGCGCGGCCGGCGCAACAGTTGCATTGCTAACTGCTGCTGCTGCGCTGCAGCGCAGGCTTTCACCTAGCTAAGCTGGTGGTTACTTGAAAGGAAATGAAGGAATGCAGGAATGTAGTATAGGGATGAAAAGGATAGTTTCCAGAAACAGGGGGACTCCAATATAGATCCCATAGTTCCTTATTCTAGGGACCCCCCCCAAAAGGGTATTCTCAATTTTGGCAAACCCTCTTATAGGGGATTATCTCTAAACTGTTTCTGGGATCCATAGCCTTCTTCTGCGGCCCCAGGGACTTTCTACCGTCCGGGGGACTTAAGGAGGCATCTACCTTAGAATTGTTAGGGTAAGTTTAGGTCATTAGCGTCTGCTCTCCCAAAGTCGGGATTCTAATTTTGTGTTGCCTCTTTGTCCTGATGACCTAGCAGCCCACAGTCCTCAAGCATAAAGGTGTGGTCCAAACATGCTCAGCAGATCAGAAGCTCGCCCACAGCTCTAAAGCAAAAGCCCTCGAAGCCCATGCTCTTGAATCTCTGAACGCCAAGCAACTCTAGAATCCTCGTACTCGCGCCTGCCACAAAAAGCACCACGTTTCAATTATTCCTAATAAGAACTGAAACATCTTCGGGGATGCATTTAGTATCTCGAGTGAGGAAGTGCGGAGACAGAAGTAAAGGATGACACCTGAAATCCCAAAAAAGCCCAAAACCACAAAGATCGCGGAACATAGGCGCATGAAATCCAGAACGTTTAGTTCCATACTCAAACACGGCAACCCTGAGCCCCAAAGCCCCTATACCCCAAATCTTGGGTACTGCCCCCCCTGAGTAACAGTTGGATAATATTTTAATATGGTTATATATAGCCCTTAATAGGACCCCTAATATAGACTGTTACAGGGTGGGGGGCAGTACCCAACCCAAATCCCTGGAACGTGCACCGTGAACCGATGCCACTGCAGGAACAGGTACGCAGGAGTTCCGGGCCAAGGAATCCTCTTCGGCGAGGCCGTGTTGCGCCATTTCCTCCAGAATTGAACTTATGGGAGTTTAGTCCAGGTCCAGGGTTTGGGGTCGAGGATTTTCGGTTTGGGGTTTAGGATTAGGCTGCGACTGTGAGGATTTGGGGTGGAATTTTCGAGAACACCTCGACCAGAGTTGGAATGACGATCCAGGGACCATACCCAAACCCTCCTATGAAGCTCCTTTTGGGAGTCGTCTAGTCCAATCCTTTACCAAAAGTCCTAACAAACCAAAAGAAACCACATAGGAGCCTGTGGCCAGGCTAGCATACTGTAGAACCGAAGACAAACCCCAACGCAGTCTTCATAGTCCTCGTTAGCTCTCAATCTTTGCTTTGTTTCCCACGCCTGGAAAAGCGCCAAGCACTGCTGCCACTCGCCAGCTCGCTGGCATGCCTCGCTGACGCAGTACAGGCTTCGATCTTATGGTTTGGGACCACAGCATTGGGTGAGAGACCCCTTAATCCTTTGCAGAACGGACTAATGAATTGCGCCTCGCACTCTGGAACTGCAACACGAAGACGTAAAAAGCTGCAGTAGTGAGTAGTGTCCCAGGACTCAGCAGCCAAAACCTATGCAGACCGCGCAAACCTCAGGGAGACTCGCACAACTTGAGTGCACCAAGATTTGGTCTGGGTATGACTGCCACTGAGGGACATTGATAACCGCGCTGAATGTCACCACAGTCCTAAGCGTCCCAGCTGCAAGGAACACATACGAAATCAAAGAGTGCTCCACTTGAGACATTGAACTGCCAGTGTCGAGCATCCCAAGACCACGCTGAATATGGCCAAGTATCGGCAACACACCCTCAGGCAGCCGGGACAGCAGCAAGAGGGGAGTCTGGCAAACGGCTAGAGGAACCAGGGCTGGACATGTGGAATCTCAGGGCTCAGGGCAAGACTGGGTTGCTGTTAAGGAACTTAAATTAAAGTACCATAATGGGTAGATATAGTGAATAATAGGGTTTCCCCCTATATGGTAACTTAAATTAAGTTCCTTAACAGCAACCCAGAAAACCTGGAACAGATTCCGAAGCCTTGAGCCTCAACCTCACAGGATTTTAGACTTGGGTGGTCTTAAGGGTCCTCAGTGGGTTTCAAGCGGGAGGTCTGGGAGATCAACTGGAGCAAGCAGCAGCGCATAAGGATTACAGATTTTCTTTCGAGCTCAGGATGTGGGAGTTTGCCTAAGTTATCTCTTCCAAGATGAGGGGAAGTGATACATAAGAAGGAATCGATTTATGGAAGCATGACAAGAATAAGGTTGAATACGTCAAATTTCTCAAAAGCTAGGAACCGAAGTTGACGTCTGGAGCCGCCAGAGCCTTGACTGACCACAGAGATCATACTTTCTCACCATAAGGGCAGCTGCAAAAAATGAAAAGATTTTTTGAAAGGCATAGTAAAAAACCGGCCATTCATGCTGAACACCAAGCCCCATGGCCCAATGTTCCTGGTAGACACCAGCTTCCTTACTCACACTGCTGGCCTCAAATCCAGCCTTGCATTTCTGCAGGTTAAGCCGAAGCTCTGGACCCCAAAGCCTACTTGGGTTTAGGGCTTAATTAGGAACCACTACCTAGAACCCAAGCCCAAATTCTTAAATTCCTTATCCTACACCCTAAACCTTAAGCCCAGATTCTTACTTCCTCAACCTAGACCCTGAATCTCCAAACCTTAGGCTTCAGAAGGGTGGGACCTTCCACTCCGAAGCCTTTGCGCAAGCCGCAATGGTGGCCTCACAGCGTCGACATACACAAGTTGCATGCTGGTTCCCTGGACCCCCAAAGTACGTAGAATAATGGCCTTTTGGGCTATATTTAGGGGATTTGGGCCATTATTTTACCTACTTTGGGGGTTTAGGTCTGAATTAATAAGGAAGCAAGGCAGGGAGAAGACCATGGAAACTGCCGAAAGGGATTTTGTGGGGGCTGCTCTCACACTCCATTCCTCGATTCCCTACTAAGAGCAGTTTAGGGGGGCGCCAGGGCATGACTTCCTGAAGATAATCTTCTCTTCTCCTCTAGCTAGACAAGTGACAAAACCCAAGTGTTCGTTGAACTGGTGCTTGCGTGTGTTGTACAGTATGTACGACGTGGGCACCCACCACAGTAGCAACTGCAGCGGCCTTTCGAGTGTCCTCCCAGATGTTGAACTGTTTAATTCCTGTTGGGGGTATTGCCTGAGTCTGCGCAAAACAACTGGCGCAGCTTGCACAGCACGCGCTTATGACTAGGAACCCTGCAATAGTGGACCCCAAGCAAATCAGACTCTGATCTCCTGGTTCTGCGGGATTATATCGTTGCCCAGGCATAAGCAGAGCTGCACAGCCCTTGCAGCCATGGGTCGCAATGAAACACTACGCCACAATCCCTAAACCCTAAACCACCTGTTGCACCCCCCTACCAAAACCTCCACAACCTCTCCCGCCCACCCGCTGCACTCCCCCAAAAAATATGACAAGGTTTCCAAAGCACAGAAACATGCGGAAACCCTGAAGTCCTCTCCCAAAACTGAGCTAGGCGGCGTTCACAGCGATAATCTCTCTCCGGCACAAAGGTAACAGCTGCAGCGCCTTTACTCAGGTGGAGATGAGAGACTTTCAGGGGCAAAAGCGAAGGATTACTCAGGACTGTGGATCCTCTGGGAGAGCCTACTTTACTAGGGTATGCGCCATGGAAGAAGAACGCAGGATAGAACGCTCGACGAGAATCTTCAACTTGGCACAAAGAGAAGCAAAACTTTCTGCCTAAGCGCCGACCGACATCAATCGACTTCTCGTCTTAAAGCTAGGATCCGAATCTGAAGCCCCGAAGCCCACAACCTTGCTCCCTTGACCCCTTGAAAGGCGCTGCAGACGAAATCAACACCTGACCATATCAGAGCCCCAGGTACCATTTCAAGAGATACCAAAAATGCCCCCCCCCCCCCCCCCNNACTAGATTGGGGAAACCCTATTATTTACTATATATACCCATTATGGTAACTTAATTTAAGTTCCTTAACAGCAACCCAGTTTGGGTCGGGGGGAAGCCTCGACCCACTTGCCACCTGCCGCCAAGGCCGACAGGGCAGCGCAGATCGTGATGGAGTTCGGTGAAACACCTCTTCGGCAAAAGGGGGATTAGGGTTTAGGGTATGTCCAACTCCCCAGATCATTTGCAGTTGGACTGTTTCGCCCCACTGTATATATCTAGGAACGCATTTGGGCGGAGTGTATGCCCTTGCTATATGCGCACTTGGACCCTTTGGGTTGCGTTTAGGGTCAGGTAGAGGGCCTGGGTTTGAGCTCTTATTTCAGGATTTGAATTCAAACTAGACCTTCTGCGGTTAATTCCTGTTTGTGGTTGAACGTTGCGGGTCCTGAGTTCAAGCATTGAATCATAGTGCAGAGGTTAGGATTCTGGAGTGCCGATTAGGAGGTTCAGGGTTGGAGTTTTGAGCGTAGACTGCCAGAGGCCATGACTTGCCATATGCCAAAACCAAGTTGAGACAAAAAAAGCTGCCATCCTCTTATGGTCCACACAAAGGTCAACTTTAGCGCAAAGCACGCAGCCCTTAATCTTCAACCCAAGACTTCTGAAAGCAAAAGCTAGAGCGCGGCTTGCACTTACGCACGCGCACGTGTGGACTTGTTGGAACCCACAACTCAACTCGTCTTCTATTATAGTATATGATAGTATATTATGGNNATTATGGTATATTATGGTATATTTTGGTATATTATATAGGGATTAACTATACTGGGGTTATATAGGCTATAGGCAACGAGGCAGGAGATGACATCAAGCGTGCCAAACCCTAGGCACCAAAATTGTCGAACCCCCAAACTAGCAACTATAAGTATAAATTGAGGTGTACCTGGACCCCAAAGGGATTTTGGGCTACTATCTTACCTACTCTTGGGGTTCAGGTATAAGTCTTCAAGAGCCCCCGCGACCGGCAACATTAAAGCCCAGACTGCTGGCGCCGACCCGGAGCTCATTAGGCCCGATATACTATAGTAGTTTCCATTTTCTTTTCCATTATCCCCATAGTATCCCAATATGTACCCTAGTATTATTACTAGCGAATCTAATCCGTGTATCCAGATCCCAACCACCCGCAGCCACCTGGTTTAAAGGCTTTTTGGTTTCTAGGGTTTATAGTCCCCCCTAAGTAGATAGAATATGGCTTTGGTTTTTTGTAATAAGATCCCCAAATACCACATAGTCTATCTACTTCAGGGGGTTTCTAGGGTTTAGGGTTCCTTCTTTCGCCGGCACCTGCTCGATGCATGCTGTCGAACACGGCGAGGGCAGCCTGTTGAGCACGCCCAGAGGACCTTTACTATGCCGTCACCATACACTACCTCATGGTCCCTAGAACTTAGTCCTTACATCCATATTATTTTACCCCAGTTTCCATTTCATTTTCCATTTTCTTTTCCATTTGATTCTCCATTATAGATTCCATGTTGTATAAGCATTAATTCCCCAAATTCTATAAAGCATAGAGGAGCATCCTGGGAGCCTTCTAAGATTCTAACAAGCAAGACTAAGATGGAGACAGTGAAGGTATGTGGGTGACATATTGTGGATTTTGATTGTCTGGTGCTCAAAATGAATTTAGGTACTACAAGTTGTAAAGGTGTATGTTGGGATTATGTAGGGGGATCATTCTCTTCTTAGGCATCAGCAAGTTGAGCTGAGGTTCCAGTGTGGGACCCTTTGCCCATTCCACTTTGATTTAAGGGGATCTCACGTCTCACTGTTGTGTCCATATAGCATTCGTGCAGTGCTGGCTGTAGATCCCTTGCGAAATGACACAGAAACGCAATTTGTATTTCCCTTGTAAATCCCGGCTACACCAAACTTCAGCTTCGAAGGTTTGGGGGCCCAGCCAGAAGTCAGACAGATTTGGGTGTGCACCAACCAATTTATTACAGAACCTACTATGTCTTGCGGTGCCTCACGACCCTAAACATTATGTGAAGCCGGAACCCTGTAAGTGGGCGAAACAAATCCTCGATGCCAAGTGGCTTCCCACTCATGAGCTCGCTCACAAGAACTGATTGCGGCACTGTAGACCACCACATCTGTCATGGATGCAGGGTATATGGTCACTTCTCAAAATTATGGGCTCCTTTTGGTTCAGGGTTATATTACGGCAACTAAATCCTTAGATCCTCACCCTTCTACCCTAATATCGGGGATTAGCGATCGAGTCTTCACTTCATGGCTCGTGTTTGATTATGGGATTAGGGGTTAAGGGTTAAGGGTTTGGGGCTCAGAGTTCAGGGTTTAGGTTTCAGGCTTCAGGGTTTAACTCTTTTTTCAGCCATGGCAAGTTTTAGGGTAGAGAAACCGTAGGAGATGACATCTTCTCTTGAAGCCTAGCAGATGAACCGGAATAATGTGCTGCAAGTTCTCCTGTGGGTAATGTTGGTGATTCAGGTGTTAAGAGATGGCAACAGCACTTATCGCCTTCAAGACGCATCTGCCGTCTGATGCCCTGTTCCTCGTAGGGAAATTATGTGAGGTTACAACCTAACCTCACATTCCATATCGGGTCTAGTAAAGTTTAATATACGATGACGACGGAGACAAGTAGGGACCTTTATGGTGTGGTTTACCTTCACGGTCGCGGATGACAACGATACTGAGGCTGAGAACGCAAGGCTAAAAACTCTAGCCCCAAGAGACGAGAGGGTATAAGGTTCTGGAGGGAGTACAAGGGTCCCCCAGTGGGGATTGCGCAGGGGTACTAGAAGCAGCATACTTAGCATAACGATCCTTCCATCACAACTTGTCATGACATAGGCCATAAGGTAGGCTCAGCTGTCTTTGCGTGCTGGTTTGTGGGGTTAAGGCCTTCTCCACACTCTGCCGCTGTCGGGTCAGAACAATCTGTATATAAGTCATAACTAAAATAGTTCAAGCTACGCCCAGGTGATCTAGCAAATTGCTTCCTTCCTGAATGCCGAAATGTGAATGTCTCCTGCAAGCTCAACCCCTTCAATCCAGACCTTAAGAATTCGAGCCACAAAAGCTCACACAAACCCGAAAACCCTCACATCCTAGAGCAAATCCTCATAATGAAGCTGCAAGCCTGCGAGAGTGTCGTGACCTGCCATTCGCAGCATATTCTGCAGAGCTTCGTGCTGGATCAGAAGGAGTTGTAGTAAGGCATAGGCAACAATCGAAGTCTCAAGTAATGTAGATTTTAAATAACTACAAACATGTTCAGGTCCATGTGCGCACCCCTTACTACAGATATACAAGGAAACTGGGACCCTATTAATAGTAGTTTCCATTTTCTTCTCCATTATCCCAACATAACCCCTGTATATATATATATACCCTATTATACTAAAGTAGTTTCCTTTTTCTTTTCCATTATGCCAATCTGACCCCTATATACACCCCATTATACTGAAGTAGTTTCCATTTTCTTTTCCCTTATGCCAATATAACCCCAATAGATACCTTAGTATACTAAAGTAGTTTCCATTTTCTGTTCATTATGTCAATATGACCCCTATATGAAGCCTAAACCCGAAACCCTACGTAAACCCTATAGGTAGTTTCCATTTTCTTTTCCATTATCCCTATATGACCCCAAGATGTTTCTTACCATAAGGTCTGGGCTTGGAGGTTCTGGCTTGGGGGTGGGGGGCTCAGGCTGCTGGGTGGAAGGTTCAGGCCTTGGGGCGATGCAGGGGTTGAGGGTGTAGGGTTTTGATACAGTTTTGTCACTCTTATGCCCTAGGTCTTTCGCAAGCGCAACATAGAAAATGCTCATATATGCACCCATTTAGAAACTGAATATTAATTTGCCAAGTTTGCTTTGTTGGGCGGCTGTTTTGCTGGAGTGGGCTACCCAATGATATGGACTTGCTGCAGTGCTGCATGCCTACAAATGTCATTGGCAAGCTGCTGTACACTCTTGCTTCTCAGGTCGTAAGAACTACATAGAGAAGGCTGTTTTGGAAGCTTTCATACCACCACGGCATGATGGCGTTCATGATGTAAGGTTCTCTGTCTCTGTTGAGGCTGCAAGAGCTTCGGCCCCTTGCAACAACTCAGCCTTTGAATTCGGAAGCCATGGTAGCTGGGGCAAATGACAAAAAAACTCCTGCTGAAGCAAGGAAGGTGAATGTCTGATAGCCCACCTCTGCGTCCTGCACCTTGAGCGAGTCTTCTCATGGTTTCGTGAGAACCCTTGTATTCAAGTGTTGTCCTGGGCGTTTATGGGCAGACGACCGCGTCATGGGCACCTCGAATGGCCAGGAGTCGGCAACGTCTCAGCAACAAAACAGTAATAACTAGCTGAAACCGAAAAGTAAGCAGAATATTCGCTCAGCTTGCATAAACATAGCCAAAAACAATATTCTGCTTCACACTTTTGGAGTTTCAGAAGGTTGCTGCGCATTACCCCTAAACGTTACAGAAACACCAAGGCACACTGCAGAACAAAGACAAGAAATCCGGCCTGCAAGAAGAGAAAGAGCGCCCTGCCAAGCTGTATCAAGCCTTGCGCAGGAATGATCTAACTGTTGCTATATAGGTTTTTGATTTTTAGCACGCCTTTTGCCGATATAGGGTTTAGGGGTTTATGGTTTCGGGACGATTTCCTAAACAAAGACCCACATACATGTGGACAATCAAACCGAAGAAAGCCTGGACATGAAATGGATACTGGAGTGATGTAGGGGCGTAATGATTAGGATTTGGTTCAGGGAGTAGAGGCTTGGGTTCAAGCATTAAAGTCTGGGGTTCGTAGCCAAGACAAAAAGGTTTGGTGATGAATTAGAGCCAGGCATCTGCACTGTTGGAATCGAGGTTTGGGGTTTAGGGTATGGGTAAAGTTAAGGGGACAAAAGCATAATTCACTCGGGCTTGCCGGGTGGTACTTGGATAGTCCCTATGCGGATCTGGAAAGTGATGGAAAGTGACTGTGAGGGTGTTGGTGCATTGGTGTTACCAATCTTCAGGAACCATGTTAACTTCAAAGTCAAAAAAACATACATCTCCACATGTTTCTCAACGTCATGGGATGATTTGGGGTGTCCAACCCGGGACCCAAAATTTGAGTTAGCGAAACATCCCCGCGAATGCTCTTCCAACTGCTATACATCCCTAGGATCCTAAAATGGGCTCAATGGCAGGGATTCTCAGAATCCATTTTTGATCCCCCAAGCGTTTGAATAGCCAGAGAGTCCTTAACCCTAAACAAGAAAATCTATAGATCCCATATAGTCGTATAAGTCCTCCACAATAATCCCTATTGACCGAACCCTTAGACCTTAAACTCTGTATTACTCTGTTCAGGCCAGGCAGCGCGACAATGACGTTCGCAAGGCTGAAGCTGTCAGGCTGCAAGCCTATGATTGCTATAAGGATTCCTTTTCAGGGCTTCATGAGTATGATATGGGGTATACCATAAGGATCCCCATTAAGGGCTTCAGAAGGAGGAATAGCCTTCGTAGCTATTCAGAAGGCTGCTCAGTCTTCTACATCGCATTACGCACTGGTTAGGGTGGAGACTTAGGGCCTGTTGGAAAACTAGATTGGGGTATGGGGCTTAGGATTTCTGAGGGGCAGTGTTTGGGGGGGTTTAGGCTACTGAGTCTTTGATGGCTTGCCCGGAGTTGACGGTACGTTGAAATTACTATCATCACATTGGGGCATGACTACTTCTCGCCTCGCGCATACATACACGACCAATCGCACCGCGTTCTTGGCATTCTAATCCAAACCCAAAACTGAAACGTGACGTATCCCTAAGGGTCCAAGTACCTAATTATCATATATTTACCCAAAACCAATACTATAAGTACTATTACCCNNNNGGGTACATGGACCCTTAGGGTATTACCTGGCAAAGCCAGATCTCTTCAGGTCCCAAGTCCAAGCCTTGGTCGAGGGAGGGCGATACTGTCAAGACAGGAACCGGGGCAAGGTCGAAAACACAAATGCGGACCCAAAGCTAAAAACCTACAAGCCCAGGTCCAACAGTCAAAACAATCATGACAATAGTAATACTAGAAATAGAACTAGTTATGATAGTAGTAATAGTAGAACTAAATAAGTTTGTGGGCTTCTAGCCCACATGCGCACCACCCCAGTCTGGAAGCAACCCCACACCTAAATCCCGGATCATAACCTCTCAAGGCTAACTCCTACACTTATCGGAATATCTACAGCCCAGACCCCAAAAAATGGAACACCCCCCAATA